AATTCGGAATCAAACCAAGAACAAATTGTTGAGCAATTAGAGCAAGAAATTAAAGAAATTAATCAGGAGTTAGGAATAGATGATAAAACTGATGCCCCCAAACCTAATCCAGGCAAGCCCACTAAAAATCCTCAGTCTCCCAAAGAAAGAGATAATGATTTACCCAATAAGGACAAAGGGGATAATCCTAAACCAACCCACAATCCTGATAAAACTCCTCCACCTTCCAACAATCTCGAAGCCGAAAGAACAAGACTAATCAACGAACTAGAAAAATCCTGTGAAGAAAAACAGCCAAAATTACCAAAAAAGGCTATCAAGAAGTTTGTTAAGCAAATCGAGAATGCTTCCTTAACTGAATTACCGGCCATTTTCCAGCAAGGTCAAGAGTTTATTCAAAAGAAACGCACTGAAAAAGAATGATTTAACTTATTTCGCCAACAAGCAGAAGAAAGAGCCAAGAAAAGAGGAACAAGTATTGAAGAAATTACTGGAAGTTATGATATTAGAAAATTGGTTGAGAAAATAAAGCCTTTTAGTAGCCTTAGTTCCTCCCCTGCTAAACTTACCGAAGGAGAAGTGAAAAAAATTTTTCCTGCTGACATACCCTTTACTGATACTACCAATTTTATTCGCGGAATAATTAGAGCTTCCAAAGAGAAATTAAGAAAGTCAAATTTTCCTGAATTCTTATTGGTTTGTGAAAAAATGAAAGATGATTATATTGGTTGTAGATTTTATGAAGATGATTGAGAAACGGCTAGGGAAGATTATTTTCAAGAGATAATAGACAGAGTAAAACTCGAATTTACCCAAACCAATGCCGATATAGAAAGTTCTTTTAAAGATATGGAATTTATTCCCAGTTCCTCCAATGTTGTCAAGGAAGATGAGTATATTAAATGGGGTATCGAACGGTCTCTTATTTATGTTAAATATTCTCTCCTAAAAGATATATGACATAACATTCATATACTAGCCAAAAGACCTTGCGTTTTCAAATCTTTTCAAGTTGATAAATTAGGAGTAGAATTTAAATTAAAGACTAGTCCAGCCTTATTAATTACTCCTTATTATTTGGAAGATGATAACAGCCAATCTTATGATTATTCCCAAATGGCTGAGGAAAAACTGAAAGAAGAAATAAAATCTACCAGATTTTTCGACGAAGAATCTGTAAGTTAAAAAAATATGACCGATATCCACACATTACAAAAATACGAAAATTGAAAATCTGCCAAAAGAAAACGGAAACTCTGAATTAATATAATCTCCTGACTATCAGGATTATTACTAGCCTATTTGACTGTTTGTTGAGTAAGTAAAGCGGGAATTGGTAATTCCTGAAAAACTTTAAAGTATGGTTTCACTACCAAAATTGAAACCAAAGATGAACGAGAGAAAATACCTGCTGACTATTTAACTTTCTACAAAGAAAGAAAAATGGAAGAAACTTGAACTCATAAGAAATTTGGCCACGAACCCTCTTATTTCACTTATGAAGAAATTGCCAAAAGAAAAGCCCAAAAAGAAGGAGAAGATTGATTTGGTGAATTGGGGGGTAAATTAGCGGCCTGATTAGTTTCCCAAGGAATTGACGAAAGTAAAAAAAAGGAAGTTGACTATATTACTTATGCTCAGGAAGTTTATAGTAATGCGGCCATGATTGTTTTTTGAGGTTTTCCTCTTTTTTGATTAATATATGGTTTAATACTTCGTTATATTGTTTTGCCTTTGTCCTGAAAAGAACCTAAATTAACTGAAAAGGAAGAATTAATTTAAGCATTAAAATCTAAACTAGTAACTTTTTCTTCCAACAAATTTTTCAACTCACCTTTCGTGACAAATTTATTTCCCACTACTGAACGAAAAATGGCAATGGCTCTTCGGTATCTTTCGTTAGTTCGATTAACATCAACTAAGTCTCCAAAGTGTAGGTTAAATTTCATACTTGGCGACTCATCGAGAAATTCTCTCAAACCTCCTGAACTACTTTTTTGGGGTTCCTTGGTTCCTTCTTGGGCTTCTTGATAGTTAAAGTAATAATCAAGAACTTCATCATATAACCGACTTCGTAATTTTCGTAAATCATTTTGCTTTTCTTGCTGATCCTTTAATAATCTCGCTTGGGCTTGGGATGTTTCCCTTGCTCTTTGTCCTTGTTCCTCTTGAATATGAATTTCATTCCTAATTTTATTTAGTTTAGCCTCATTTTCTTCTCTTTCTTTAATAGCATTAGCCTCCATTTCTTTTAATTCATCGTCATTTTTCCTTTTTAATTCATCAACTTCTTTCTGGATTTCTAATTTTCTTTTTTTAAATTTCTCTTCGATTCTTTGTCGTCCTTCCTTATCAGCAATATTAATTTTATTCAATTCTTCTGCTAATTCTTTTTCCATTAGTTCCTTTTGTTCAACTAATTTTCTTTCCTCCTGTTCATTCTTCTTTTTGGCTTCCTCAATCTCTTGTTCCTTTTTCTCTTTTTCTTTTTTCATCTGTTCTTCTTGAAACTTTAATTCTTCTTCGGCTCGTTTTTTAGCATTAGCAATTCTTTCCTCCTCTTTACTTAAATAATTCTGTCTGTCTTCGGCAATTGCTTTCTCACGAGCCTCCTGGGCCTGTCGTTTCTTCTCTGCTTCTTGTTCTTCCAATTCCTTTTCCCGTTGTCTTTTCTCCTCATCCTCTTTTAATTTCCGGTCCTTTTCACTTAAATTTTCCTGTCTTCTTTTAAATTCGGCTTCATCCAGTTTCTTTCTGGCTTCTTCCCGAGCCTTTTTCTTGCGAAGTCTTTCCTGTTCTTCTTTATCTAAACCAGTTAGAAGTTCATCATAAGGGGAAGTTTCGGAATTTTTAGGAGTTGGCTGAGGTTCAGCAAGAGGAGTTTCTGAGGCATCAAAAAACTTTTCTTTTTCCACTAAATAACTTCTTATTTTTTCATAATTGTTGGCTAATCGCTCAAACTTTTCTTCCAAGGAGGTAATATTAGCAGGGGTGCCGGTAATATTTCCAGACTTGCCTGCCAAAGAAGATAAGAATTTGGCTCTTCTTGCTAATTCTTGGTCTCGTTTTTCCTCCAATAATTCTAAATATTCTTCTCATTCTGGTTTTAGATAAGGATGCTTTTCTAAAAAGTAATCAAAATTAGGAGAGGCCGAATAACTTTTGTCATTTCCTTTACCTATTTCCTTATTTCAGGCTTGAATTAGAGTGGTGAATTTGATATTATCAGTGGGAAATTTAACTAAGAAGGTTTGTAATTCATTAAACTGTTCTTCGGATGGTAATTTTTCATTAGATAAAGTTTTAATAATCTTCCTTAATGCTTCCTTTTCTGGTCCTTGACTATTATCTTTTCAACCATCCAAAATAGTTAGGATTTGGGTTTTGTATTCTTCTATTTTTGCTTTTTTGGTTTCTGCTCAGTGTTGATATTTCTCTCTTAACTCTTCATCATTGCCCTCATTTAATACTCAGTCACTATCTACTTTTTTAATATTTACTAGCCAATGAGCATATTCGGCATCGTTAACAGTTAAACCAATATTTGTCCATTCCTTAGTTTGTTGATAAGAAAAACCATGTTTAACTCATTCTTGAACCAACCCCTCAGTAAATTCAAAGTCAATATTTTTTCAAGTTTCAAGCAAGAAGGGATTATTTTCTTCAAAGTGGTAATTCTGCCCCAAGTTTTCCACGGCAAAAAGTAATAAATCAAAGAAGTAATAACGAGGAGTTAATTTAAAGCCATAAGCAAATAAAAAGTCCCGTTGTTGGCTAGCAATGGCTCCCACTGATACTCAATCCTCTTTTTCTTGAAAAGTTTCCTTAGATAAACGATATTGATAAGAAGACAAATTGTCAAGGTTTTGTTGAGCGAATTTTATCAAACTTGGCAAAAGGGAGTTTCGGACTGCTTCTAACTCTTTGCTTTCTTGTTCTTTGGTTCTTTTTCTAATTTCCTGACGAATTTGCTTTTGATTTTTGGTTAAGATTTCTTGTTTTAGAGATTGATAAGGGTCTTTGGATTCTTGAAAAGAAGTAGTTAAGTCGGGAACTATTTCTTGTTGAGTTAAGAAATTTAAGACTGAACCGCCAAGATTTAAAGACTTAGTTTTTTCTAACAAACTTTTTGAATACTTAAATTCTTTTTGTAAAGGAGAGAAAGTTTTTAAAATTCTTTCTTGGTGAGGAGCAAGGGAAAGTTTAGTTAGTCGGCTAGCATCAACATTCACTAATCTTTCTTTTTGTTCTTCATCCAAAGTAATTAAATCTTCGGCCAGTTTTAGTAAAGATTGTTTATGTTGAGAAGTTATTTGCCAGCCAGCAGCATTATAAAGTGGAACCCCATAATCTTCATAAGTTTTTAATTGCTCACTGCTCGATTGGTTAGTTAATAAGCGAAGAATATCCTCTTTTTCCTTAACCGATAAGTCAAAAGTTTTTTTCTCGGTGATTAAGGAATTGCGAATGACTAATAATTCTTTCTTCTTTGCCAAAGTATTTATTGACAAGGCTTCTAAACCAGAATTAAAAAGTTTTAATTTTTGTTCGGGTGATAAAGAAGGATAAGTAGCGGTTAATTTTTCCTGAGCATTTTCGAGAAATTGACAGTAAAGAGATTTGGTAATGATAGAAATAATTTGGTTGGGGTTCAAAGTAGCCATTAACTTAGTTAAAGTTCTCTTTTGTTCTTCCTGAATATTAGGAATTTTTTCAATTAAGGGAGAAATTTCTTTTAAGTCTTCGCCAATTTGTTTTTTCTGTCAATTAGTTAAGAATTCTTCCTCTTCGGGAGTTAATTCGGGTTGCTGTTCTTGGACTTGTTGAAGTATTTTTGCTAGTTGTTCAGCCGAGGGAGAATCTAAATAATCTTTTCTTTCATCCCGGGCTCATTGTCGTTTTACTTTTTCATAAAGAGCCTTAACTTTGGCTTCATCGCCCAATTCGAAGAGTTTGGAAGAAGAATCGGTTTCGCCAAAAACAGAAAAAATGGGTGTCGAGCCAGATTTAGTTTTGGTTTTTACTTTTTCTAATATTTCCTGAGTTTCGGTTAATCTATCAATATATTCTTCCTCTTTTTTAATAACTTCTTCGGCGAATTCTTCTTGTAATTGAACTAATTCTTCTTGTTTGATTTCAGTGTTTTTTTTGTTTTGGTATCAAGTATAGCCATAAAGGGCTAAAAGGATGGCATTATATCCCACCACGCAAGGAATTTTATATTTTTCCTGTTCAGGAGCCGAGTAAGCAAGGACATTGCCGACTACATAACCAATGATTAGAAAGTATTTATCTCAGTATTTCCGATACTGTAAAATAGTGTCTTTATAATAGTAAAGAATAGCCAAGATGACATTGAGAACAATCAGACCAGTTAAGCCATTTTTTTTGTAGACAATATATTCTAGTAAAAAAATAATCAGATAGAGCATGTAAATACTCATTGACTTTTGGGGAGCAGCTTGCGAAGACTGAGACTCTTTGATTTCTTGAATTTTTTCTTCAATCTTTTTTAAAGTAGGAGTTTCGGGACTGTCATTGAGGATTTGTTCTTCGGTTTTTTTAACTTCTTGTCATTGCTGTTCAACATACTCTTTTTTGGCTTGGTTAGCCTGTTGTTCAGCATCTCTAATTTCTTTTTCTATTTTTTTAGCCTCAATGGAAGTTGGTTTTTGCTGATTAATCTTTTCGATTTGTTTGTCTAGTTTTTTAATTTGCTCTTCGGTTTTTTCTTGTTGGTCTTTATTCTCCTTTTCTACTTCTTCAATTTTCTCTAATTGTTGCTGTAATTGAGTTAGTTTTTCTTCACCTTTTTCTTGGTTTTGTTGGAGTTTCTTTTTTTGTTGGGGAGTGGTGGACGGATTACCTAGATTTTGTTCAATTTTTTTAAGGTTTTTTTGTTCTTTGATGATTTCGGACTCAGTTTGAGCCTTTTGCTGTTGTAAGGATTGTTGTTTATTCCGTGATTTAGTAAGTTTAGCTTTGGCTTGGGCTTTTTCAGTCCGTAATTGGATTTCCTTTTTTTCTAATTCTTCCCGAATTTCTTCCTCTTCACTTTCGCTATCTTCTTGGGGAGCAGTAGTTTTTTCTTCTAAGGGACTAATGTTTTCATTAATTTGCTCTTGAATTTCTTGAAGTTGTTCTAATAATTGACTTTTAGTTTCTTCAATTACTTCTTGGAGAGATTTTTGTTGTTCTTCTGCTTGACTGGTCTTTTCTTGCTTTTGTTCTTGATTGGGTGCGGCTTCCTCTGGTTTTCTTTTCTCCTCGTCAGTTAAAGGAGCCGTTTCATTTTCTCCTAACAAGCGAGTATCTCAGCCTCATTCTCTTAACTGTTCGGGGGTACATTTCTTGGCTCAGGAAGAATTAGGACTTAGTAAATAACCTTCTGGTCGGGGCATGTCTTTTTCCGTGCCTTCTTTTATGCCAACTTTTCACTCTCTTTCGGCTGGCTGAGTAATTAGTTTTTGGGTTTTTTTTAATAACTCTAAACTGGCTAATAATTGAGCCTCTTCGGCTTTTAATTCCAGAGTTTTCTGAATTTGGTCTAACTTTTGCTGTTCGGCGGAGTAATCAAGTAATTGTTGAGTCTTTAAGAGATGGTCAATTCTTTCATTAGCCCGTTGGGCTTCGACTTTGGCTTGTTGAGTATCTTGCTTGTTCTTCTCAATTTGTTCTTGTAATTTATCAACTTTTTTGTTATGTTTTTCTAGTTTATCGGCTATTTCATCCACTTTACGGGTGGCTTGGTTAGCGGCAAAGACTGCTTCGTCAATTTTTTCATCTTGTTCTAGTTGGGATTGAGTAAGTCGTTGTATCCTAGCATTAAATTCTTCGTGAATTTCGTCTATTTCGTTGACTACTAAATCTAATCGTCTTTTTTGTTCATAAGATAAATTAACTTGTTCTTCCAAAGTTTCCGCAAATTCTTGGTGTTCTAAACTTAGTTTTTTTTGTTGATAATTGACATTGCTTAAATCTTCTTGTAAATCACTTAAAACTTCCTCATTATCGTGAATTTGGGTTTCTAAGATTTTATTGCGACGAGTATAGTCGGCTTGGAGGTCTTCGAAGGCTTGCTCGGTTTTGGCTGTTTTCTCATTAATTTGGTGTTTATATTTTTCGAAGTCATGTTTAGTTTCTTCTTGTTCTTTGCGTAAGTTTTCGATATTGGTGTTGGTAACGCGAATTTGGTCTTTGAGTTCGCTGCGAACATCTTCTAATTTAATTTGTTCTTTAAATATTTTTTCGGCATTATCGCGAATTTTTTTGTCGTGTTCTTTGAGAGTTTCATTAATGCTTTCAATATTTTTTTGAACTTGCTGATTAACTTTTTCTTGCTCGGCTTGGAAAGCTTTGGTGAATTGTTCTAATTGGTCTTGGCGGGCTCCTAATTCTCCGAGGGCTTGTTCCATTTCACCTCGTAAGCCATCTAAGGCTTGGGCAGTAGAATTAGCCAAGTTTTCTAAGCCATCTTTTAGTCCTTCAATATTTTTACTTAAAGTTTCTAGTTTGGCATCTAATAAAGCGTCTTTGGCGGTTCCCAATCCAAAACTGAGGGCATTGCCAATTAAGGGTATTGAACTAACGGCTCGTTCGGCTAATCCGATAGCAGTGTGTAAAGCCTGTTTAGGTGAAGTCATTAATTTTACCCCAGTTTCTAAGGCAAACTTGGCTCCGGTTTTGGCTCCTTCTTTTAATCCGTGATAGATTTTGCTGTAAACATTGGGGTCCAAGGCAGCATCCGTAGCAATTTTACCGGCTTTTTTGGCAGTATTTCAAGCTGTATCACCTAACTTTCGAGCGTAGTCTTGAAGGCTTTGGTCTTTGTTTTCTGTCATGTTTTTAGAATTGTAGTTTTATTTATTGGGTCTTATACAAGGCTAAAATAAGGCAATTCCTATACAGGGCTAAAACTAAGCGGATTTACTTTACTTTTTGCAGTAAGTAATCAACAGTAAACGAGTATATTCTAATATTTCTTGATAATCTTTTTTCTTTAAATTAACTACTTTTTGGGGACTAATGGGTAAATCATGATTTTTTTCTTCTCAGTATTTTTCTAATTTCTCTTTTTGGGGTTTATCTAGACGATTATATAATTGAATAAATTCTCCCATTTCTGAGAAAGTAATTAACTTTTGCTTGGGATTAGTGCTGATTTGAGTTCGCATGGCTATTATAATAATTTTTCTAATTCTTTTAAATCATACTCTTCATGAAAATAAGTAATCAGATATTTAGTAAGTTTTTTCTGTCGAGGAGAATGTCCTTCTTCAATATCAACATTAAAAAGAATAGCGTGGGCTGTTTCATGGCAAAGAGTTTCCAAAAAGTCATCACTATCTTCGTAATAACTATTCAAAGTAATTCAAATTTCCTTATTTAGCGGCCAGGTAGTTCCAGCCGTTTCTTGGGGTAAGTCATGAACATAACGAGCAAATAATTCTTTATTAGTTATTTGAAGGTTATTACGGATTTCTTCGTTATCGATTATCTCATTCAATAGTTTTTTCTGGTAAAAACCTTTAAATACGGGCTTTTTGTAAGAAATAATTCCTAAGTGATTACAGCCTTGTTGGTAGCAATCATTAATTATTTCTTGGAGAGCGGTATTTAAATTTGTTTTCTTAGACATTTACTTTATAACTTATTTTTCTTTATTTCTTTAAGGAGTAAAAAGGGGTAAAAACTCCATTTTTATTTCTTATCTCAAGGCTTTTTCTTTCTTTGTCTACTGTAAATAGGTTTAATTTCTTCATTATTCTTTCTTTCATCATCTTTTACTTTTGCTCTCTCTCTCTCTCTCTCTCTCTCTCTGCTATTTGTTGTAAAAGAGAGTAGAGACCATTAAAATCAATAGTTTCATAATTAGCGGCATTATCATCAAAAAGAACATTTATTTTCCTTAATTGTTCCTGTTGTTCTT